AAGCCCAAAAACAACACCCCCAAGACCCATTGCAAATGGGGAAAAACTCCAAAAGCAACCAAACCCCCCAAGACCCATCGGAAATTGGGAGGGGGCAAAAAACAAACAACCCTCCCAAGATCCATCGGATATGGGGGGGAACAAAAAACAAACAAACCCCCAAGACTCAGCACAGAACCATAACTTCCTCCCCATCTCAAAACCACACTGCAAAAACACCCAGAACAGTTTTTAAAAAGCAGAAAACAGCACCCTACCTTACCAGGTAGCCTGAAGCCTCCCTGCAAACACACACACACACACACACTCTTGCTCAGAAGCAGAAGGGGGCAGTCCCAAGCCTCCTCTGATGCACACTCTCTAACTGCTGGGGCGAAAGAGCTACAAAGAAGTAGCTAGAAGCAAAATTTTGTGGCCAGAGCTGGTCGTAACACGGAATGGTTGTAAGTAGGGATGTTTGTAAGTCGAGGCACCACTGTATAAGTCTAACCTTGTAATTATCGCACATTTACACATCAAAATTATAAATGGGCAGTCAAACTATAACTTGTGGAACTCTGCTTCATGTTTTATAGGTATTCAGAAATTCCTGAGAGATACGGTAAAGAAGTGCAGTCGGGATGGGTTTGTGCAGACGATGACCGGGCGGCGTAGGTACCTTCCAACAATTAAAGACTCAAACCCTTACAAGAAGGCTCAGGTGTGTTGAGAAAAATGTTGTTAAACTGTTACACTCTACTGGAGGAGAAACACCAGGAGACAGCCGGTGCCTACTTATCTTCTTCTGTCTCCCTGGGTCTTGATCTTCCTGTTAGAGGATCATGCCTGTTTACCTTATGCTCCGTTCTATGTTTAGTTTGCAGGTGTGGTGTATGCGGTTTGTCTTTTGTATGTTTGACCCCTTCTGTGCTGCCGGGGCATCACAGTGCCCTTAGCGATCCATTTCAAACTGTGAGCAACGGTATATGAAATTAACTGTGGTACTCCATAATTTCTTCCACCATTTCCCCCTGAAATATCAGCATCCACTGCTATGTGGCGATGCAGCTGAAGATCTAATGGTCTCCCCTGTGAAGATGTTGTATCGGGATGGAGATCTGAACTCTTTAAGCATGCCTTCTTTTAAATACAGAACAGGATTAACAACTTCCATTGTCCTAAATTACTGAATTAAAATGAACGTAACGTAATTTATTCGTTAACATCTGCTTAGTACTTTGATATAATTTACTCATACAGAACTTTTCAAAACAGGGCATCTTATCCTGCTTAGCTTAGATCATCTACTTTTTCCACCTGTTTCACCCACTCACCTAGAAATTCTTTTTCCCTCTTGCGTTCCCCTTCCATCTTCCACTGCAGCCACTTTTCCAGAAAACAGCTCACTACAAATGGAACCTGAAAGGTTTTAGCTGTCTGAAATACTTTTCTTCCCATCCTTTCTCTCCCTGTTTGTCCTGATAATCTAGATCTGAATTGAAGAAGACTGGTTAAAAAGTTGTACTTCCTCCAAACCCAGTTACTATTTAGGTGTTTTGTTTTTAGAATGCTCCTTCTCCTTCCCAACACCTGGAACAAGATTAGTATGTCCTGTTTAAATGTTGTTTGTGCTGCCTACTTGGCTTGAAAGGAGTCTGCACTTTATCTTCTGTTTGGTCATTGTAGAGTTTGGAAATAATTCACCGCTCTTGACATCTTAACTTTTCTAAACCTTTTGCAGTAACATGCTGGAATGAAGTGATTTTTTTTTTGCCTTGGTTGTAATTTGTTGCTTTTTCCTGGGTTGGAAATTGGGTGGCTGTCTATCCCTCATTAATCAGAGTGAGAGATGTACTGACCAATTTCAGTTAGTAGAGAAGGGAATAGGAAGAATCACAATTAGAATTACCACATCATTGTGAGCCCTTCCTCCTCACTCTCCTGCTCAGTGAGGAGGGGGCGGCCATCCCCCTTGCATCCTTTACTCCAGAATAAAACTCAACAGGGTTTTTTGGGAACTTGGATAGGGGTAACAGGTAACAACAAGTTATTATATTGGGAGTCCTGAGTACTAGTTTCATTCACAAGTCCTACATTTTTTCTACGAGTAACAGTCTTTAATCTTTTGGTTTCCTTTACTGGAAGGGTCAATATAACTGAGTGGAGGTAAGTTCCCTTCTCTTCCCTTGTAGAGTCACCCAACATGCATCCCCAAAGAGCAAGGGGTGCTAGGCCCGCACTGAAGGCACTATGTCAGGCTGATTCCTCTGATGCCGCCTGTCTCCTTGCTGCTTGACGCTGGCATCATGCTGTCTCTTTCTTTGCCAGCATCTGCTTTGGGAGGGTGTGAGTCACCTTCATTTCTACTCTGTCTCATCTCCCTCTCTCCCCAACACGAAGGCCAAGGAGGTGGCCTATATTCTTTATTTGGCAGCCTCTCCCTTGGGAACTGGCAACTGGACCCAGGCTCCTTGCCAGGGATCCTCTTTATATATGGAGTCCCAGGAATCTGGGGATCCCCTGCCCGGTAGTTGCCCAACGACTCTTCCCGGATGTCTACCAAGTCCTTGTGCCCTGATGGCTCTTCCCCTCCCTCTTGGTCCATCAGCTCCCAGGGGTTTGTGGACTCGCAGTTCTCTCTCCTGCTTCGGAATACCTATCCCCCCACAACCTTTTGGGATTTCTCATCTGCCTCTGGGGTGGCCATATCTCCTTTCTGTGACTCTTGCCTCTGGCTCTGGGCCAGCGGCTTCTCCCTTTGGGGGCTCCCTTTCCGATTCGGGGGTGACTGTCTCTCCCCCTTGAGCTTCTTGCACCTCTCCAGTCTGGCAGCCTCTTTCTCTTGCCTTCACTCCTGCCAGGTTTCTACCTCTCCTGGTGGCAAGACAGTTTTTATAGCCGTCACCTCCCTGGGGTACACAGACAAATTCCCACCCTTTGCCTAGGAGTTGTTCTCCCAAGCTCAGGACAGATGTGGCAACATCTGGGATTGCCCCTGGTTTCTTGAGAAGGACTAGGTTCTGGGGTAACTGCCATCTGCAGTTTTTCTGCTGTCAGCTGGGTGGGTGCGGGGGGGGGTTCGGCTCCCTGGTCAGAGCAGGACATCACACCCACGGGGGCCTCTGTGATCCCGTCCCCTTCACAGTCACCTGCCTCTTTTTGTGAATAGGTTGTTGCAAAGTGAGTCAGGAACAGACTCACTGATAGGCACCATGCAGTTTTCTCAGGGTGATACAGAGGGATCGGTTTTGTATTTCCTCCTTTTCTCTCCCCTGTCCCTCATGGCACAACATGGTTAAGCTGCTGTACTGTTTATTTATTTATTTATTTGCTTTGTCCCTGCCTTTTCCCTCTCCAGAACTCCAAAGTTCACTCCTGTTATTTTTCACTTTCTCTTTCAGTATAACAAAAGAAGTGGACTAGGGTTAGCTAACACTTAAACCTCCAGGTGGGGAGGTGGGTTGTTGTTAAAGCCAATAGTCAAATCTGGTCATGCCCCTGGGGATTAGTAAATCACACTCCCACTAAAATTCAATAGGATTTATTTTTGGATAGACTTATTAGGGTGGAATAGACTTTAGAGGCAATCTGGTACACATGGCTGGTTGAAGTATGTAAATTCTGGTGCTTTGCTTGGTTGGCATTATATTCTTGCCAAAAAGTAACTTGATATTTATAGGGTAATTCACTGTTTTCTGTTAGAGGATAGAGATGCTTGAAGGATTTCTCAGTGGGAACAAGCAACATTTTCCTGCATTTTTCCAGTAGTAACATTAATGAATGAGTTGTAATGAATTACTTTCCTGAATAGCAGTAAAACATATGATGATGGTCTGTTGCCCCAGCAAAGTGATGAGGAGTTCAATGGATTCCTTTTTAAAAGTAATGTTCCAAGCTCTGGATTTTTGTAAATTTCAGGCAGAGAGACAAGCTGTGAACACAGTTGTCCAGGGCTCTGCAGCAGACATTGTCAAAACAGCCACGGTGAATATTCAGAAACAACTGGAAGCTTTACCTTCAGCAGTCAAATCATTTGAACACTTCAACAGCTCATTCCAGGAAAAACGGGCAGGTGTGTTCCTCTCTCTACCCCCTGCTCTCTTGCTGGTTTAATTTTATATTTGGTAGCAAATGTTCCGTATCTAAAAGTGCAGGTGAGTACAGAAGGCAAATTATTGTTCTTTGTTCTGAGTGTTTCATGTAACAGCATGGCTGAGTTTTAAGTTAGTGAAACAGAACACTTCACTGTTTGGAGAAGATTATTCTCCAATGGGTTATTGTTCACAGGAAGGCGAAGACAAATCAGTATAAAAAAACACAATGTCGAATTTGGAAGTGAAACAAATCAATGTGTTTATTGAAGTACAGTGCTCAATACAGAGGTAGTAGAGAAATAAACATTAAATGAATTATAAATCAAACCAAATGTCAAGGGAGGGGACAGTAATGTGATTAATAAAACAAAGCAACTAATCAGAAATTAAATAAGAATCAAGTCCTGCATTCTGTTCTCAACCAATTTGGATTCACACATCCAGCAAAAGAGGACCAAAAGGAGTAAGATTATAGCTACTACAAGAACAGAAATAATAGAGCTATAATTACAACAATAAAGAACCAATTCAAAACATAAATATATAGCCAATTTTTGTTTTGTCCTTCCATATTTTGTTCCATCTTAACTTCATCCAGTACCGCTACCAAAGAGACAAATCATTCCAAGATATTCTAGGTTTCATAGTATCTTCCAAGTTGAAGCATTGTGAGAAGGAAAATAGAACTCTTGACTACTGTGTTTCCTCAGTGTTTTATATTGCTCAATATATACAGTATTGGGATGAAATTGAATTTATTTTTTAAAAAAAATCTGGATTGATAGTGAATGAAGAAGCATGGCTGATAGCATTAGCCAGGAGGGTCTTTTGCCATAGGTTTAACTGTGACCCTGTCTAGGGAAAATGGATGTGACTTCCACTGTGCCTCCCTAGCCACAGCCGTATTGTACAACTGTGACGCACTCTACACGAGGCTGCCTTTGACTTGGAAACTTTGGCTGGTGGATAATTTAGCTGCTTTCATCCTTCTTAGGATCTGATAGTCAGATGATAGGAGATATCAATTGTATATCCTTGCATTGTTTGCAAGGATATTTTTGTCCCACTTCATAGTGCTTGTTCTGACTTAATAAGCCCTACATTTTCTGGATCCTGCTTTTGAAGGGCTACGTATGAACCTGCTGCCCTCTGAGATTCTACTCACTGGCCCACCTCAGAGACTGGTGAACATTACAGAAGGGGTGTTCTCAGTGGTATCTCTTTCCTATGGCCCATCCTACCTACAGTGGCTCATTTTAAGGGGGCTTTAAAACAGGTCTTTTTATTTTTCTTCACTTTAACTGAAAAAACAGGTTTTCTTATATTCTGCTATATATTTTTGTATTATATTGCATCATGCTACATTTTATTTCATCTGGACTATCTTAAACATTACAAAATTTAAGGTGGTTTTATAGTGCCATAATTAATTTTGCACATTCTTCTGCATCATAAGGCACGTTGGGAAAACGGCGGTTTTGAAACTGGACAGTAAATGAACCAAAAACGAAATGGCTGTAGGAAGCCATTTTGGGTTTAAGGCTCTGATTGTCAAGCCCTGCCCAGAAAATTTTGCTCTTCCCAATCTGTAGAGTCCTGTGATTTAAGCAGTGATGATGGTTTGCTCCTCCTTAGGCATTATTCAACTACTGTATGAAGGTTTTCAGGAAATTTATTCTGATTTTATTCTGTCTAGGGAAATTAGGAAGGGCAGAAAAGAGGCAAATGATATATCCCAGACATGGAGGGTTCTTTATACTACAGCTGCATGATGAACTTCTCTATGAGGTTGCAGAAGACAGCATGATCCAGGTATGAGAATTCCCTTCTCCTGAAATTATGTGTCTGTTGTGCACTAATTTTTACTGTAGTTAACGCTATAAAAGTCCAAAAGAAAAGTTACCTGCTATTAAGAATTTTTGCTGGACTATAATCCACAGTATTTCACTAGCCAGACCCTATTGTGAAATACTGCACATGGAATGGAATCAGATGAGTGGTTTTCACAATTTTCTGGCCATCTGATGTGCACGTGGGTGTGCAACAGATTGTGTAACCCAGTTTTGCCTAAGCACCCCACAGGCCGTTGATCAGAACTGTGTGGCCCTGGTTCCTCTTTTCTAACACTGAATCTGTCCATTGTCTGTCACCTTGTAGGTAGCACAGATTGTCAAACACGAAATGGAAAATGCCGTAAAACTCTCAGTGAAGCTCACAGTGAAAGTGAAAGTTGGGCCTAGCTGGGGAGACCTGCAAGAGCTGGCGCTATGACCATGAAACAGAAGTTTGCACGGGACAGCCCATGCCTACTAGAAAACCCAGGACTCCTGTTTCCAGACCCAACAGGCTGGATGACAAGTTACTTTTTAAAATGCTGACACATCTGTTCATTTTTTTTAGACTGAATCTTAAATCTCTAAATGAATTAAACAAACACCAAACATTTATGAGGTATCATAGCACTACTAGAAATAACAATGAAATGCTTAAAGCAAAGTACTTAAATTCCAAATGATTTTATAGTCTAGTAATTTATTAATGGACTTGGCAAAAATAGTCTAAGCAGATAATCTTTTATGTTTACAACATATGCAACTGGAAAATGCAGAAAAATTCAGTTCCTTATTTCATTACCATAGCATACCCTTCTGCTGCGTTCCACATTTATGCTCATTCCCCACAAACGTCACTGTATGCAACTAAATATATGGTAGGGGCTTCTGATAGCAAGGCCACTGCTTTTTGACCTACTAATATCCCAGGAAATTGACATAGCGTAAGACTCACATGACACTCTATGCTTGTGTGTACAGTGCAAAATGCAGTACCTGAGGAGCTACGCTGGGATGTACAAGATTTTCATATACTGATGTATGAAAGGGCCCATTGTAAAAACTGCCTGTTTGTTGCAGGTATCTCATGACTTTAAGAAAGCATGATCTTGCATCAAATTATGTTTATCCTATGGCACTGAAACTTTGCTTTTTATGTGTCTTTAAAACTTGTTCACTTCATTTGTCTGCTTTGAGAAAATGAAATTTCCTAACTCATTTTTCATTTCACACATCACGTGCACTGCATCATGTGGTTTTGCTTCTGTTGCAGGATTCCTGCTGTTTTTTAGACCAATGAATTCATCTGCTTGTTTTGTAAACTACTGTAAGATAACTTAATTCATCAATATGTATATAATAAATAGATCTGTCTATCACTTTTCTTCTCCTAGTAATTGTTTGAAAAACAACATTTTCTTACTGAAGAAGGAAAGATAAAAATTAGCTGTGTATTTCAAATATTCACCTTGAATGTTAAAAAAATGAAACTTTTATGGAATATTCATACAGCACGTATGCTAGCTGCAAATTGAAAATGTTGGGCTGTATTCTTTTGAGTCTGGAAGAAAAAATTCAACCATACTACTGCATTTCCCCCTTGACTTCCTGACTGAACTGTCACTTGCATGGAGTCTGTTGTTCCCTTGGAGATCTGAGAAATACCAAACTGGAACAGCTTGTGACTCAGAGATCAAATGGAACACCTGTTCCCTTTCCAGTATGGCCAGACATTAAAGTCATTTTCCCCCTCATCCTCTTCTTCAGGTACCCCACTGAGAATAGGAAGTTTAAGGAACTCCAAATCAATGGATGTTCCCCTGGTGCTTACACTGTGTTATCCTATTAAGTGCCAGCCCCAAACTCTCTTCAGGGGCCTCCCAATGTTTGGGGTGGGGGCTCAAAAAAACTGGCAACTGACATTAACTGTTACATTAAATGGCATTCCTATTAAAATTACTACCATTTTAAAATTCCTTTTAAAAGGAACACAACTGCTTCAGTGCCCCATATCCATTCCTGACAGCAACTTCATCCATTAGACCTGTTGGGTCTAATGGAGGCCATGAGGTCTGCTCATCTCATCTGTGCATTCTTGGCTGGAAACACCCCCTTTCATTTACAGTGCTCTCTGTCTTGGCCAAAAAGGTTCAGCACTCAGGTCTGTGAGCATTTCTCAGCTGAGAACATGCCCTGCCACTCCTCACCTCTGATTTTTTATCTCATTTTTTCCTACTCCTCTTTTCAACACATGTTAATGTTGCTTGGATGTGGTAGGCATGTCTCCTCTATGTTCCAGCTTTCACTGACCTCTTTCTTTCTTGACCTTCCTACCATTTTTGGATCAAACAATCCAAACCCGAGCATTTCCCATGTTTTATCCAGTCTCTGTTTCCAGTGCTCATCACCGTACTTTAAACACTAATTGGGAGCAGCTACTGGCTTTGTCCTGCTGCAGCAGGTGCCCCATATAGCGTCACAATGAAACAGCACTGGGAAGAACCTGAGATTTCACTTGTGGAGGGGAAGTCAGATGAATTTGTCAACTGCTTTATATAATTTAACAAAAAAAGTCTGTGGTGCTTGTGAAAGTTCTATTTACTTCTAAGTAAAAATGCAAAAAAAGAGTTGTGATAATCTTTTAGCATGCTGCTTCCTGGATGGTAGTAGTGGTTTTTTCCCCCCCTAAAAGAGTGTTTTGGAATCCTTGGATTTAGCTGTCTTTTCAGCTAGTCTGAAATCGCTTGGGATGTTCTAAAATTGCTTCTTTCTGTGCAAGTTAGTTCTTACTTCTCACACACATATGTGTGTGTGTGTGTGTGTTTCTCTTTTATCATTATAAATATTAAATTTACATTATATAATTTGATTATCACACTAGATGATACCTCAGAGCTTTGCCCTTGTTATAGGTCCCGCCTACTTTGCCTTTGGCTGGACTGTGGCCCCCAAAACCATGAGGTTCGCCACCCTTGAACAACTTGACCTTCTCCTAATTGCTGCAAGAATATCACATAAAGAAAGCTTCATGATGTGGCCACAGAAATTTAATTACTTTATTTTCTACTAATGAAATGCACGAGTGTATTCAGACTAAGATTGTCTACAGAAAAGGAATGTCAAGTGTGTGAAATGCAGCTCATCTGTTAAGAGCAACATGCTTCAAATGTACCAACTTCTTTTTTTTAAAAAAAGCAAGAGTTTTCCTGTTTATTTCTTTGTGGAACTTAAAAATAAATCCCTTTCCTCAGTCACAGCATGCTTTGCTTTTGTCTTTGTTGTATAAGAAGTCAATTAGTCATGCAAAGTTTTGATCAGTTTAAATGCATTAACAATCTAATTTGTACATTATATTTTAAACCGTGAAGAGCCTTCCCCAGAGTTCATTCCTAAAGCCGGTGAAATTACCTGTTAAATATGACTGTTCATTTGGAAGGGACTCTCAGTGTAGACTGACTGCGCAGTTCCACCGCACATGGGTGCCAGAAAACCTTCTCGCTTGACCATCTGGTTTGCTGAAACAGGAAAGGTCCACCAAGGAGGGGAAGCTGCTTCTGCCCTGTGACTGAATTTGAAGAGTAAGGCCTTTTCCTTCTGTCCTTGGTACACTGAGATGCAGCTTTATGATTGAAAGTCAAAATTGATACCATTTTTTGTCCTTGTATTTCAGCATTACCTACAGGGAGAGAAGATGACGCTATTTAAGTGGCACAGATATTGATTTAAAAAAAAATTAAATATGTGTTTGCTATTGTTCCCTGTAGCTGGAGAACTCAGTAGCTTAGGTATCTCTGGCTGCGGAACCAGAGGTTGGGAGTTCAATTCCCCATTGTGCCGTCTCAAGAGGGTCTGGCCTCGATGACCCAGAGGGTCCTTTCCCACTCTGCAGTTCAAAGCTTATTATTAGCATCCCCCCATTACTCCCATACAGCACTAACTGGTAAGCTGGAAGGAGGCCGGTAATTGCTGCTGCCTATTCCTGGCCAGTGCACTGCCTTTGAGAGAAATTGACAGAACTGGTGTGACAATTAAGGTACACCACTGATACCAGGTAGGCCGAAGCAGTCTGACTGGCAGGTGTGGGAATGCTATCTTTTCAGCATTATTATTTCAGAGTCGTGGCACACTCACTAAATGGGTGGGGTATAAATCTAAATAAAATAAATAAATACATTTGAAGCAATATGTCAATTAAGTTACCCTGGTTTCCTTGTCTGAAGCCTCAAAATAGGCCCTAGGACACTGAAAGTGTTAATGTTATTATATTCCTGTACTTCCTCTGTCAGGAATGACAGAAAAACCTTGTTGCATGGAAATAAGTGATCCAACATGAGATGACCTTTTCAAAGCTACCTGTAGCAAGTGCACATCCATGGAAACACACTGTGGAGAGCAGTAATGGTGAATCACTCCATGTCCCTCTCGCATACATTGAAAACCCTGTTCAAGATTACCATAAGTGAGAGGCAACTTGAAGGCACACAACATACACAACTGAGGTTCCAGAAACAATCTGCAGTTCCAGGTAGGAAGGTGGTTTACTAAGGATCGGATTTTTGAATTGTCCTGAATGGTGAAAATCCATCACTGCCATTATGTTTTAAATGCAGGAACAAGAGATGCCTTTGTTGGACTATTTTTTAAAAATTCTTAATGGCCCAATAAAGGTATCACCTGTTCCTGCATCTGGGTTGTTTTGAAGATCATGTGGCCTTGTCCTGATTTTTTCTGAATTATGTTTTCAGAGTCTTCTATGGCTTTCTCTAAGGGAGCCCTTTCAGTCTTTAAAGAATTGGTAACCCAGAAGACTATCACGGAATCTTGCGGATTTTTTGTTTGTTTCCTGTATATTTCTCCTTCAGTCAGCCTTGTATGTAAAGTTGCCTCATAGAATTCTGGTCTTTCTAGCCAATTGCATCACAACTCTCAGAAAGAGAGCCGTTAGTAGCCAATAGGAACATACAGAACACCCTGGAAGGCTAGAGGGGGGAAATTCAAATCTTTAAAGCCCCTGGCAGACAGTCTAGGGGTGGCTGCTCTTTTGCTGTTGAGACTGGCCTAGATTGCTGAACTGGGTGTGGAGAGAGCTCTGACTGGATCCCTCCAGTTTCTATTGCATTGGCTTGTTACTTTCCTCCAACCTTCGTTTATTTGTGGGTTATTATAATTTTAATATTTTGCTTGGCTGCTGCTTCTTGCAGGATGTGAGGTCTTTTTCTTCAGTCTTCCTTACGATTTTTCTCTCTTTTTTTTCCCCATTAGCTATTGAGGAGAAATCCCCTTAAAAAAAAATTGTCTGGAACTTACGGTAATTGGACTGGATTCCTGCCCTGTGGGTTGAATTGTTTCTACTGGACTGGTGTTGGTGTACAAGAAGGCCTCAAAGTGGAGGAAGGGAGTTGAGTCTCCCTAATTTTCCAATTCTGCTTTGGGGTTTTGGAGTGGGGTAGGGTTTGGGTTTTTTTTCCTCCATGGGGTAGAGGGGAAAGGTGACTGCTTTGCTTTTCCATTTCCTCTCAAGATATAATTATTTTCATTATATTTTTATTAGTAGTATTACATTTTACATTCTCATTGTTGATTTTTATTTTCAAGTCACTACTGATGCTGTACTTTTGGTATGCTTTATTTAAAACTGCATTGGGTTTTATTGTTTACCAGCTCTGATTGCGCTGGGACAAGGTGCCTGTTTACAAGGTGTGAGATGAAGAGCCACCTCGTCCAGGATCAGTCCGACTCTCAAATAAAGACAAAAGCACAAGAGATAGGAGTTATAGAAAAGGAATGAAGTAAATTAGAAATAAAAGAAGAGACTGAAGGGGGCGCAAATCAGGCGGGAAGGGAGGAGGATAAGAAGGGGGGAGAAGGAGGGGTAGAGGTAGAAGCATGTTGGGAAAGAGGAGAAAGAGGAACAAGAAGAACTGGTAGAGATAATCCAAGAGCACCCTTGGACAGGAGAGTGGGTGGAATTCAAGGTACCCTGTGAGTACGCCGAAAGGGAATGGAGATGACAGATGTATAGAAAGCCACCTTACTGAGGGGAGACTGAAGAGTGAAGGCAAAGGAAGGAGTACAAAGCGTGGGTAAAGAGGGGGAAACAGAAGAGAGAAAGGCAGAGATGTATAGTGAGTCCAGAGAAATCCCGTGGGCCCAGCCCCTTCAGACCCTGCCGGAAAACAATACATGGCTCAATAAACGGGATCACCAGGAAGGTTCAACCTTCAATCCACAAGGCTGAAGTGGGCTGAAACACACCTGAGTTGACGGGTGCCAAACCCAAATGGCAAATAGAAGGGGAAGATATGGAGGCAGTGACATTTTTGTGCTTTGCTAAACCCCAACACTCACCTCATGCGCATGTTTGGAGAAAGCTTCTGCACTCGCCATCATTCTTGCGGTCCGTTCATCTAGTTCTCCAAGTTTCTGTCCCCTTTCGTCAAGAGCAAGACGGGCACGAGCCAGGTCTCCAATGGCACCTCCTGCAGCTCCTTTCACCGCTTCAACGCCACCTGATCCAGGAATGTGCTGAGCCAAGCTGCGAGAAGCTTTTCCTGCTGTAGCCTCACCAACTGGAAATGGAACCGGGAATGACACGAAAAGTGTTTCCTTGGGCTTCCTACAACCCTCCCCCAGTGTCTGGGTAGATGCTTAACTCTTGTCACAAGTTTGTAGCATTAGATTTCAAAGGATTTCTCTGTTCAGTATAGACATTTTAATTGCCTATACTCTTACTGAATACTTTGGGGACTATTGAAATATTTCATGCTACATCTAAATGAGGCTACCATGTGCAAGCAGGTCCGTCATTGACAACAATTTGGAATCTTCCACAAGCACAGCTTGTTTTTTCACGCAGAGCAATTATCCCTATTTCGTCTTCTAGGGGAAAATTACGAGAATGGAAGGTAAACAACACACAGTAAACAACTGGCTGCTTCTCACTCACTGACAAGCCAGCTTGTAATTACCAACCTACCCAGTACATCTACCATAGTTTTAAAGATACTAAGACCCTAACCCACTTTTAGTTCCAAAAACTTATTTAAATCATGTTTTTTCATTTCCTTCCCGACACTCAAGAAGAGTGGAACTTTAGCTGAGTCAGAAGGTTCAGCCCCATCACGGACCCCCACCTCCCCCATGACTCTTCTTGCCTTTATCGTTCTCTTGTTGGTGATGTGAATGAGAAGATCACTTACAGAGCTCTTCCCTGTCGAGGGTTCCACCCGTTCCACCAAAGAGACCCTTCAGGAAGCCTCTGTATTGAGCCTCAGGGGTTTCCACAGGAGTGAACAACTCCCCAAGCATATCCTGGCCAAAATGAATATGAAACAAAAATCATTGAAAGCAAGATGTATGTAAGACAGAGACACACATTGCTGTTTGACTCTTGAGTGCAACAGGTTTCAGTGCAGAATGGGATGGCTTCCCTCCCCTCTCGTTCCTTTTACTTACTAATCCCTATTCCAAATTCATACTGCTTTTCTGTTCAGTACCAAAGGTTGACTTTCCAAAAAGTAAAAAAGTGATAATTTTCCCTTCAAGTACAGTATATAACCCACCAGCCAGTGGGGGCTCTATGAGGTAATTATTTGGGATGGGAACATCTTTTTTTAAAAAAAAAGCTTTTCAGTTCCTTTGGAATGATGTCATATCCTGGTAAAGCATCATTTCTGAGGCATCACGGAGGAACAGGGTGGGCCCATAAGGATACCAGCCAGGGGTGCCATCACTTTAAAACGTACCAGGCCAAAATGTTGCAAAAGAATGTGTTGCATATGCCTACATGCACAAACAGATCATCTGCAAGGTAAGCTACTCTAGGAAGTGAAAACTGTAAGGGAATATTTTGGCCACTGGGGAGATGCCATGCCAGTCCCACAAGCCGAGAATGGGTGTCACAGGTAGCATTTCCCATACAGCTTCTAACAGTGAAACATGCTGTAGAATTAGCATAAAATGGCACAAAAATCTACCCAGAAAGTTTAAGGCCCCAGCATCAATTCAACTGCAGAGAAGTCTATGTACCAAACTATAAATCCCAATTTTCCATAGTATGAATCCAAAGTGGCAACAAAATGTTATAAATTTGAATTTTTGATTGTGTGTGTTCTGGGAGACACTGTCAGAAGTGAGTCTCCTGGGTTTGTGACTGATTCTGAATCTCATATTTGCACGTTCTTCAGGGGGAAAAAATGAAAAATCTATTATCTTCTAAATGATTTATGCAGTTGACTTATACAATTTTGTGATTTCTGGCATCTCGGAGCCTCAGGGACTTTGTCCAACAACGTTTCCAGACTCACCTGAAGATTGTCAAACATTTCCTGGCTGTAGTTCAATCGCTGGATTTCTGTAGGAGAACCAAGATACAAGGCTTGTCCTTGATTGGTAAAACAAAAGGTCCTGGCAATCCTCATGTCTGTTACAGGTAAATAGTTAACATCGAGCAATGGCCGTAGGCTGGGTAAACTGAAGAGAAACAGTCATACAGTATTTTATATACTGGGATTCGAAAGACGTGTATTGTAAACATTGTCAGCTGGACACCCCAAGAATTGTGATAGCTGAATGCAACCAAGAAGGCAAAGTCTGCCAACCTTTGTACATTTATTTCGAAGCATGCCCCATTCAACATGTTAGGACTTCATTCTGGGCATCCAGCTCTGGCTGCAAAGCCACCAAACATCTGCCTGCTTCATTTAACAGCTACAGTGTCATTTCACAATAGGATCAATATTCAGCAAATTGGTGTCTAAACATCATATAAAACAAAGGTCACTGCTTGCAGTCTATGTAGATTTAAAATTGCATTTATATTGATCTCTCTGAGCCACAGGAAAGGGCGAGGGCTATGCTGGGACACTGAATCCTGAATCAACCCACTCCACACTTCCAGGAAATGCTGATGGGACTTGGCCAGGTCCCACGACCTTTTGACATTTCACAGGCATGGCCCAACCGCTTTTACGTTTACCTTCATAAACTAATAAGCAGCTACTTTGTCATAAAACAAGAGTAGACCATTTGAGGCTTTTCCTGTGCTAGATCTCCACTTGTCACTCATCACTGGCTGTGCTGGCAAGAACGAATGTTGTCCAACAAGGCCTTGCAGTCCCACCACTGACATATGGACTAGAAAAGGCTTATTTTATTTTCTTACAGTGGTAATGGGGAAGAAGGCCCAGAGGTCTATTTGTTCTAAATGGGTAAATTACTGAGACAGGCAGTGGATTCTCTTACTCTCCACGGTTTAAGTAATGTGTTGGACTCAGTATACAAAAATACAATGGTTGGTACTGTGTGCAAAGAGAAAGACAGAAAATCTCTGGATGACTGGAGAAAACATCTTGGCACCACCGTGCAGAAGACCCTGGCCTCTATCTCTGCTGAACATGATGCAGAGATGAGATGAGAGAAACATGATCTCCAAACTTAACAGGGGCAGATTCATTTGGAAGCTGGCCCGTGCAATCATAAATCAAAATGAAAACTGCAACCAAGAAATTAGAAGGCTGAGACTTGGATGGGCAGCTATGAGGGAACCAGAAAAGATAATCAAGGGTAAAGATTTGTCACTGGAGACCAAAGCCAAGATCATCCATACTCTTGTATTTCCAGTCATCATGTATGGGTGTGAAAACTGGATAGTGAAGAAAGAGGACAGGAAAAAATCAATTCATTTGAAATGTAATGTCAGAACAGAACATTAGAATACCATGGGCTGTGAGAAAAACAAGTACTGTAGGTTCTACATCAAAATCTGAACTCTTACTAGAAGCTAAAATGATTAAACTGGAGCTATCATGCTTTGGGGCATATGAGAAAACAAGACTTGGTGGAAAAGACAACAATACTAGGAAAAGCAGAATAAAAAGGAATACTTGATATGAGATGGACAGACTCAGTAAAGAAACCACAACCCTTAATTTTCAACACTTGAATATGATTGCTAATTACAGTACCTTTTGCAAGTCATTAATTCACAGAGTCACCACAACTTGATGGCACTTAACAACAACAATCAGTTTAGGTATTTTAAAACCTCCCCCGACATTTTAAACAACCAAGAAACAAATGCACAACACATATTTGAAGATGGAATAAAGTAGGAAACATATGATAGAATCTTTGAGACCCAACAACATCATGCATCAATTTCAGTCTTCAAACTGTTTTCAAACACAGTGAAGAATCCAGTCTGGAAGCAACTGGACTATCTGTCTGTCTTCTCTGTCACAACAAATAAACCAACCTGAGCTGTTTTTTTAAAAAAAAAACCTAACTCCCATTACAATAATTTGTACATCAAGTGAAAGCAAAGTTGTAGGATTAGAAATGTTGTGTCTCCCAGCTGTATTCAAGGACAGTTCACAAAAAGATGAATATCCGTCCTGGAGTACCAAAAAATTCACCCAACAATACATCTGGACTAAGCTTCAGATTGGTCAACTTAACCTCTGTCCATTTCTAAACTGAGTTTCCTTGGATCTGCCTCTTTGGAATCATGCTAATGATCTTTCAGGCCAAACCTCCAGCTAACCATTCTCCCAGCTGTATTCAAGGACAGTTCACAAAAAGATGAATATCCGTCCTGGAGTACCAAAAAATTCACCCAACAATACATCTGGACTAAGCTTCAGATTGGTCAACTTAACCTCTGTCCATTTCTAAACTGAGTTTCCTTGGATCTGCCTCTTTGGAATCATGCTAATGATCTTTCAGGCCAAACCTCCAGCTAACCATTCTTGGGGTGTGGTCAACTTAACCTCTGTCCATTTCTAAATTGACTTTCCTGGGATCTGCCTCTTTAGAATCAGAGGATACAAGTGCAAAATGCTAATGATCTTTCAGCCCAAACCTCCAGCTAACCATCCTTGGGGTGGAGGATCAGATGTAACTCCACAGCCAAAGGCAATGACCTAGAAAACTGCTCTTAAGAGTAACCAAGCTAGGATTGTCCTGCACAAATGAATGCTCAAAATGCTATTAATCAAAAGCTACCAAAAAGTCCTGGTCCATGAGAAAGTTTCACTTCCACTTTCTCATCTGATGGCATAAGTATATATTTCTTTATTATGATGATGTAGTAGTTTTTTAACACTAGTAGTTTTTTAACACCCCACCACCACCAATGGGCTTCCAAAGATTACCTACCAGGACAATTTCAACTCTTAAAACCAGGCCAAAATCTCCACCAGCTTTTTCAACAGCTCAGAAACAAATATGCAGCAAAGCAATGGCCATCTAAAATTGTTCTCTAAAACAATTTTAGTGGGTGGGGAGTGTTTGGGGAATGTTATGTGTGTGCATGTGTCTGGTCTCTGGGTGTCTGTGAATTTCGTTGTATGGGTATACTGTGTATATACTTACAATGACAATAAATTATATTATTATTATTAAAAAAAGGTGCAATCTAAATTGGCCACAGTGGTCTAGCCCAGTGGTTCTTAACCTTTGTTACTCAGATGTTTTTGAACTGCAACTCCCAGAAACCCCAGCCAGCACAGCGCAATGGCCATCTACAATTGTTCTCTAAAAGGTGCGATCTAAATTGGCCACAGTGGTCTAGCCAATAGGAAAAGATACCAAAGATCTGCTAACCACCTGAAGCAACTCTGCTGGCTGGCGTTCAGCACACACAAGACAGCAGAGAAGAAAACCTTATTCACCAAAGAAGTGGCTCCAAAATGAGTTGTAGCCTGCTTGAGACTGGACTAGACTAGTGGCTTTACATCTTCCCAAATGGGTTGTTACCCTCAGGTCTGCACAGAACTAAGGAGCTGTATAGGATGTGTCTAGGAGGGAACATTTAGACTATGATTGAGAATTACTTCAGGATTTGCTCCACAATCAGCACGGAAGAATCTGAGGTATTTTTTCAATGATCACACAACACAAGGGTTAATGTGAATCAACCCAGTCCTTTTGTTTCTGATTTGGAATTTTTCCACCCTGCTGCTGGGGGCTTCTCCTTTTTAAAAGGCAGAGGGATTCAAGTGGTAGTTCCCCTGTGTGAACTTTTGTTTCGTTTTACAAAAGGACAGGGGTGTGTGACTGGGTGGTATTATAGTGATACATTAAGCTGGGGTGTGGTTTTTTTGGGGACAGTTGGAACACCCTCCCCTGCAACATTTCTCCCTAGTCACCCCAAAGTATTTTTTTAAAGAATGACCAAGTTTAGTGCTAGATCACCCTATCACTGCATGGATACATTAGTTTAGTGTTAGATCTTGTTCACACACACACACACACGCACACACGCACACACTGATTCAGCTTGCCAGTGTAGTCACATCCTTAGATACAACTGAAGGTCATTTCCAAAGATTGGTAAGTAAAAAACTAGAGGTGGTCACTGACAGGGTCACCAGATATGTCAACAGGAAATCCCCTCCCCAGATCACCTTGATGTACATTTATATGTCAACAGGAAATCCCCTCCCCAGACCACCTTGATGTACATTTAAGGAAATAAGAGACTCTTTTAAAAGGAAAATATCCACCGGGTCACCCATATGCATGTATGCTAAGTAAGAGAAGGAGCAGGATTTTTCTTGGAAACCTTCTCAGAGATTCATTTGGTGACATAAAAGACCCGCCACCACTTCTAAGGCTTCTCTGTTTATGAATGAACCAAACTTCCCACTTCTCCTTTCCTCTCTTGAGGTCTCTGTGAAGTTTTACGGGGAGATGGGTCAATTACCTCAGTATCAGGATACTCCCACTAGCAGACAAGGTTGCCAGGCAAACACTGTTACACAGGGTCACCACGTCTGCTCGCAACAGAAAAGATGTGTCTGTGATATTGTGAACATAGAGACAGATCTGGGAAGGCAGTGAAAATACTTTGGCTTGCTTCTCTGAGCAGATAACGGCAAACTGGTGGTCTCCCATATCCTGGGAGCTTGAAGAATGCAGGACAAGTTTCCTCTTCTTGTTTCTTTCACTTTCATCTGTGCTGTTTGGATCTCTCCATGCTTCATAGGGCGGACGGATCAAGGTCCCCATGCAATCCAAACAAGCAAACCTTAACACGGCTCCCTTCAGTGACAGAACGGTACCTACAAAACATATTCAATACCCTGTATTAACTTTTCCAACCAGCTGTAGAGGTGCAAGTTCATTTTAAGTCTCACAGTCATATACTGCACGTGTTAAATAACCAAGGTTTCTCTCCTACCATGTTACAATACAGTCCAAACTCTGATACACAAGAACATCTGTTGGGTCAAACCTCTAAATCAAGAGATATCCATCCTATTCGCTCTTGGCAACTATATGCCTTTTGTTTGGGATGGATGGATGGATGGATGGATGGATATCCTACCTTTCCTGCAGTGAGCTCAACGCATTCTACGTGGCTCTTCTCCTGCCCGTGTTATCCTCTTAACAACCCAAGGGCTACCACCCCCACCCACCCCAGTCTGCTTCGTGGCGATTTGTCTTTTTTTGAGCCCAGGTCTCCTGAGTTGTAATCTAACACTCTAACCACTACACTACAGAGCCTCTAGAACACCAAGTTCCCTGAATACACCTATGACATCACCTTGTCAAATGTAATGTTGCCATTTGTTATTTGGGAAACAGTAGTTTGGACAATGAACATTTAATCGTGTTAAATGTTTCCCGAAGTAAAAGAAACAGAAATATATTTCCAGCTACTTCCAAACGTAACAGCCAGAGCTGAGTTATTTATTCCTCTTCATCAATGAATAGAATGTTACATTCTAAAATAAGCCACTTTCTTCAATCCATCGGTATCAGCTAAAGACTCAAAGTCATTGTACACAGTGACAATGAATAGTGGTTTTTAATTGTTAAATTTATTAACAGTCGTGCAAAGTTACAAGAGATCCCATTAAAACCTAATTAAATTGAAACAACTGTGCAACATTTCTCACATTCTATTGCAAGCTTCCCTGACACCCTTTCTGGCAGCAGTACCGGCAGGAGTTACTTCTCAGCATGACTGATGCATGTGGGCAGAAGCCTAAAAATTAGGAATCAAGCCTTAAAAATTTGTGGGTGAAGTGAGATGTCTGCAATATCACTGGGTTTTGGATTTCAGGTAGGAAATTAGCAACAATTGGCAAGCATTTTAAATTAGTAAGAGGTCCCCTCTGGGTAACCCTTCACGCTTCTTGCCTTAACGTTTGGTAGTTTCCAATTTTTGGTACTTTCTGTACTTTTGGGGTTGCTTGTTGGTAAACTTCCAGCTCTGAAAAGGCTTTTCTTTGTTGTTTATCCAGAAGGATAATAATTTTCTGATAGTATCTAGGGCAAATTGCTTTGTCTTGGACTGAGCATAAGAATCCTTCAGTTCTAGCCTGAAGACAGCCTAAGTTAGGCTGTAGGTTTGATTGTTACTTATCAACATTATAATTCAGGAGGTAAATGGGGTGCTGTTCATGTAATGCTTTCTCAAGCCATGAATCCCTGTGTGGTGGGTATTTCATTTATACAGGCTGGTTCTCACCTGCAAGTTGTAATACTGTTAGCCCTTCATTGCTTTCCAGTATCATTTGATGAAGTGGGGGTCAGGCTCCCACCAAAGCAATTTTAGTTTCAAAGTTTGACTGTTTGACCCATACAGAGAGTCTTGAGATTGCCCGTACTTCATGGCAACTAAAGGTGGTCTGTGCATGCCTTTGGATGACTGCACCAGTACTGTATTTTGAAAGGACAACTCATATTCTCCTGTTTATACCATCAAGACCACTGCACCTCCAGTCAATAATGGCAAAAGAATAGGGTTGTGTTGTTGTCCTCATAGTAGTATCATAGAAACAGAGCTGGAAGAGTACAGGCTATTCCCAGCTGGGTGCTGAATTCTCACTTGGAACCACCTGATGATCTTCTCCAGGGGCTCCCAGCACGCAGAAGGGTGTGTGGGTCCTGTCTCATTTGTTTTCCTATTATTCTATTATCCTGTACTTTGCATTATCTTATGGTAACTGAAGCTGTGCAGTTTTTCTACTATGCTTTCCCCCCTACTTCATGGTCTCTTAAATACAGTTTTGTAACTTTTTCCTTGCCACTTAAGCAGGACAGCAGTTTTGAGGATATTCTCCATGCTAGTAAGCACTTTCCAGAATCTTCCGCAAATCATTATGGAAATAAGACTTGTGAAGGCAGAACATGTGAAAATCATAGAAACCACTGGTTTCAGAACCAGTTTAAAACAGAAAAGCTGAAGAAAGCTAGTCGGCAGATAACTGGAATCTTACCCTTCCATCCCACCCTTTACAAACTATTGGAAGCTACTCTCACGACTGCATGGCAGTGATCAGGAAGCAGCACTTGAACTGCTTGCTTCCAAAGGAAGTAATCATTAATCTAATCTAAAGTGATGTGTTCTTTTATGAGACGGGCCATTCAGATGGTTGATGAAAGGCCCCCATGCTCTTTATTACAAAAATAAGCCCGTGTGCCTAACAGAACTACTATGCCAAGGATCCCAGTTCTACTCAAGCTTTTTCCCTGGCACATTAATTATCTATAAGCAGAGGATGCCTATTCAGTCATGCAAGCACCGTGGCACAGCCCAGGCAGAGGGCAATGCCTTTAACAGCTCCCTGTCTGCAATCAATCGTACATACTTTATGCTAACACATTCTCATATTCTCGTAAATGGCCTTGAACTGCTCTGCATAAAATCAATTTGACTGGTGTTCTATTTGAATTTCTTTTAGTGCCTGAACAATAGCAAGCACTTACGCATGGATATTAGACTATACAGAAAGACAAGGCCACCTCTCGCCCATGGTTCATGGCTACACAACCTCCCTTAAGAGCATCGGACTGCACAGAGCTTTTACTCTTGCATGGCTCAACGTTCTGCCCATAGCTGTCCTCCTGGGCAGACTTCTGAGAATTCTATTTCAGCAAAGATGGTGCCCATATAAGATCGGACTTCCTGCATCTTCTGTGTACTTCCATATAGTAATCTGTATTACAGTCTGAGGGCTTAGACTTTACAGGTGAGGGGGCAATTTTACAATGTTTTGAGTCCCCCACCCAGTAACCCTGCACCTCTTGGAACATTTTCATTTGTGCTTTTTAAAATATTAAGGCCACTAGAGGGTGCAAGGGAACTTTGCAAGTTACCCTCCTCTTAACAACAACAACAACCTGGGGGTTGGTGTTGACAGACTAAGTGTAGCCCTGCAAGGTACAGGAATTGGTGTGTTTATTCCCCAGACATCTGGAGATTTCCCACCTCGGCTCTACAGCACCAGACCATGAGACCAGGAAGACACATCCTTAATTGAAAAAACATTACTGGCATGTTTTGGCACCTTTTCAAGCAAATACAATGGAAATAAAACATCCTTACCACTTGGAGAAGCCATTCCAGGCTCAGTCTGCCTCACTTCATCCGCAGTGGGCAGATTAAGGGATACAGTTAAGACCACACCCAGGCCTGTACCGACCCAAAGGCAAGGAGAGATTGTGGTGTCATTTTTCCGTGCAAATGATTCTGTGAAATATAAAGCTGTAATGGCTTCTTTGGATTCCTTATCAATACTGGAGACACTAGAGCTTCGAGAATGACTCATGGAGTTTTCCCTGTTATCTGTTTCAAGAAAGCAGCATATATTAACATATGAGACAGATGACAGTTCCATCGAGCGCCACATGATGTGTTTAGCAACGGTTCTGCCTTGGGATTCTTTTCATGAGATGTCACTGAAGAGACCCTTTACACACTGCAGAGTTATGGATGGTTCCTCTCCTTAGCAGAACACATGCACCAGGACAGCTATAGGAACAGTGTAGATTAAAATCCTCTTTGATTTTTCTGCTGCCCAGCAACTTCTGAACAAACAATACTAATGATAACTCTCAACATAAAAGGAATTATCTGTGTGATGCATAATTTTAAGAAGACCAATTGAAAAACCTCACTACAATGGTAAACTAAGATATAATAGGGGTGTACCACTTGATGGGTCTTGTCAATCCCCAGGTTTCTCCAAGAACTCTCCGGATAGATTTCTGGAAGTTTTGTCCACAAACACATGTCTGCAGACACCCTAATTTTACTTAACTAGACAAGGGCAAGGCCTCCTTCTAGATTCCTAGAAATTTTTGATTTCTGGAAGTTTTGTCCACAAACACATATCTGAAGACACCCTAATTTTACTTACCTAGATAAGGACAAGGCCTCCTTGTAGGTTCCTAGAAATTTTTACCCTTCATTTCCTACTGCAATGTTTCCTGGGAGGAAGCTGCCACATTGCTTCCTGGAGGTGGTGGATCATCAGGAGGCACCGTCTGTAAAGCATTAACGCCAACTGACGACCGCATCCAGAAACTATTGTGACACCATCTTCCCAGGAGGCAGTGCAGCAGGAAATAAATGCCTAAGAGAAGGGAGTTTGAGTTAAACCAACCACAAAAAGTAATGAATGGAACACCCACAATAGATGGCCTTTAAAGGAAAATGAAAATTGTAGATGTCTAATGGTACTCACCTTCTGTTGTGACTGGCAAAGAAATTTCCATGCAGGCAGCAGATTGTGCTTTCCTAAATGGAGGTTTTCCAGGACCCCAGCGATTGATTTTTGAAATATCTGCACTGGATAGACGTTTCCCAGAGCCACAACTTTGGGATGTTGGACTTGTACAGTGTCCATTTACAGGATCTACAGTAAGAATGGCATTTAAACAAAAATTAAACTGCAAACTCAAGTTCCTGGTCAGGATACAGGTGGGTTCCAAATTGTTATGAAGCTTGCAACCACTGGAACATCTCCCAACTGAGGTTCTAGAATCCATCAGATTATTTCTGCAGGCAGGCTTTACACAAGAACAGGAAAACACTGGCATTAATTTGTTTCCTGCATGTTCTGGAGGACATTACAAGATTATTCAAATATAATAAAGCAAAACAATTCTTGGTAGGACTAGATGAGGTGGGACAGACCGGTACTTTCTCTAGATAACTGTTCTGCTGAAGGCAGCATCCATTAAAGTAAATAAAATCACTTTTCATCTTTATTGCATAAAGGTACCTATTTTGGATTGCAACACCTATAAAGCTCTGCCCATATGGAAAATGTTCAGCCATTTTTCAAGATCGTATTACTTTTAGTAAGTTAAAGGATAATTAATTCACTTTCCAAGGTTCTTTTAAAATTTAAAATTGTTGGAATTGACCGGGTGCAACTCAGCCAACTCTCAAGAAACAGGCCAACAATTTGTGCTCAAATACAGTCTCTGGTTTGGGGTCATGTATAAATATTTGCCACACAGAAGCCAACTCTCAAGAAACAGGCCAACAATTGGTGCCCAAATACAGTCTCTGGTTTGGGGGTCATGTATAAATATTTGCCACATAGACCCACTCTTTACATCTGAGGAAGTGGACTTGCCAATGAAAGCTCACATTAAAATATAGAAGTTAGTCTTTTAAGTTGCCACAATATTTTTGTCTTCCTCTCTTTTTTAATTGTTTTACCTCATCTTGAGAAATGTGTGTCTTTGTACAGGAAAGAGGAGCGAAAGAGTTAATATCTCAAATCACCTCCCCAGGTTCCTTACTTATCCCTCACCTACCCTGGCCTGTGTTGACCTTCCTTTGACCTCAGAAGTCTATTCTAGTCACATAGACTCCAAGAGGCTAAACCAAGCCCTTAGAATTCTATCCCAGTAAAGACCTTCTTGCTCCCTTTCTAATGTGGGAAAGATGAAACTATCTTTTTTTAAAAAAAGAAAGAAAGAAAGGGATTCAGGATCTAGATGGCGGTTCTCTGACTGTGAATAGGTGTTAATTAAATTCATTTTCATAGCTGTTGCATTTTTACCTGTTGTCTTACTGTTTTATGGCTGTTTTAGTGACTGAAACAGTCACAAATCAATAAGATAACAGATGAAAAAATACAGCAGCTGTCAATATCCTGTAACCTGTTTTCAAATTATGTTATTGTTTTAACACTGTCATTAGCAGCTCTAAACTCACCAAGGAAGGGCAGAGCTCTCTAATATCATCACTGCCTAAAAAGACAAAAGCAAGATAGGATATAAGCTGCCCTAAGTCCTTTCATTGAGAGAAAGGTGGCATAAAAATGCAATAAATAAAACAAAATAAGGGCGTAAATGCGAGCTATAATAACTTGAGGAGGACAAAAATCTAACAAAATATAATGAAATTAATGCATCCAAAAATTGAAGGTAACATACATAGCTATTTTATAATTGTTTGCCAGGATTCAATGGTGTTCATTAGCATCCAACACTGAAACCAGCAGAAATTGGATTCAGTGAATTTGGGGCTTTGCTCACTCTGGTACAGCCCTTTGTGGCACCCCCCAGGCCCCCCCTCAAACATAATGCTGTTTTAGAAGATTTTCAAGCCCTGCAGAGCATGCTGGAGGGGGAAAGTGGAGTGAAGTTCTGGTGGAAGTGGCAAGATTCAGCAGAATTATACCACTTGATTCTAGCTAATGTTACTTTCTCTTATTTTAACTTAGTCAGTTTCTAATCAATGTATCATTGGAATCACTATTTATTCAAAGAAGAAGAAAAAGAAGCACACAAAAATCACAAATCTTTTCAAGACATCCAGAGAGTGGTTCGGAACTGCTGATTCAACAGACTGTTTTCACAATGCACTTTCTTAGAGGTAACCATCTATGCCAGATAGTTCCCCTTTCGGTCCTGTCTTGGTGTTCATGATTTCCCCTGCCCCTTGTCCAAGTTCCTAGCTACCAGAATACATGCCACACATAACATACTTTCTATCAATTTGCCTAAATTATTTAGTATTAACACTACAAGTCCACAGAAAATAAAACCAATGGATCAAACAGCAATTTATACCTGGGATCTCTTAAATATTAATAAACAACAAAGAGTCTTTTGGCACTTCAAAGATTTTTTCACATAAAGTTTTATCAACTGCAGCCCTCGCCATCATTCAATAGTATCAGTTACTATGCCCAACATTTTATCTTGCCGTTGCTTTCTCATAGATACATCTTCAACAGCTAAACAACACCCTATACAGATAATAATACCATGGCCAAGATCCTGTTGGGAAAAAAACATGCGTGCAAAAGCAATCGTGTCCCTCTCACTTCACATAATTGGTTTTGAACTGAATTTTGAAACCGGTACCCAACTCGTTATGTGAACAGCAACCTACCAGAGGAGGAGACTATTTGTGTGATTGCCCTTTTAAGACAGGCTTCCTCAACAGGACTGGCTTCTAAAGTGTTCAAAAGTTATTTTCGGCAGCAATAATCCAAACCTTCCTAACCAGTAGGCATAATGTGTTAATAAAACAAAGAAACCAACCAACCATACGTGGAAAGTGGTTGCTCTACCTATTCTCTACTTATGAGAAGTAAACTTTGGAGGGTCACATTTGTGTAATTTGACTCTGCATGTATTGTTGGCAAAGGTCGTATGAAGGCTACCTCTGGGAGTCAGGGAACTCAGGTGTCTTATGTCTCCAGTCTGGCAGAACAGCTGAATCTTGTTGCCAGTTGTGGCTTCTACTGTCAATGTTTCTACTGATGTGCTGTAACCAGGTAAACCACATGGGGCAATGAAGCCCCCGAAGCCACATGTATTGCTTTGGCCTTCTATTCCTTAGCTATCAGCTTCCACTTAAATTTGTTTTTTCAAACAGGATGAATTGTTGCATCAAAAGAATCTGTCAAGGAACAGTCATAACAACTCTCAAACACACTATAATTAACTGACCCTTCAACTTTATCATAATACTGTATAACTATTAAGTTATAAATTATATTTCTGAAAAATGAAGCAACCCACATTCTAACACAGAATATAAATTATCCTCAAAATAATTCAGAAGCAGAACGAGTCACATAAATGGTTAACATTCCAAATCACATGTACCTGAGGTTGTGGGGGATTTGCACCGCTCCAGCTCCAGCGAAACTGGACCATCTGACAGTTCAGTAAGACCTTGAAATTAAGGGAGTAAAACAGTGTTAATACGGACTTGCACAAGACCCTAAAAATACTGGTGGGTTTTTTTCAAATAGGTGTCATAATATTTTATTTTTATGACACAACAGCCCCTCTATAGTATGAGAACAGGTATGAAGACAAACTTTTACTCACAGAGCTCTTATTCAATAGCATCTTTTTCGTTAAGTGGCAGAAGTTGCTGGATTGTAGAGTTATAAAAAAGGCAAAACACAAAAACACACACACAAGTCTCCCTCTCATCTTAAAAACATTTCTGGGGCATCAGCCTTCTTCTTCAACAGTTGGTTTTGCTTATTATCTAACCACAACTTTTGGAAACAAGGAAATATATAGGGAATATGCAAAGGGTGCCCACCAGTCAGTACTGGTCCCTTTGCCTTGTGAAAGGCAAAGGGACCAAGAGGACTGCTCTGCCTTGTTCCCATAAATGGTCCTGATACAACTCTACACAGCCAGTAAGAACCACAACATTTATACAAAAATAGGGGCTGAGAATCATCTTTGCCTGTTGTTGGAGGCAGCATGGCTGTCAGAACTAGGAGGCCCAAGGTTGAGGAGCACTGCCATAAATGGTCCTGATCCAACTCTACACAGCCAGTAGGAACCACAACATTTGTACAAAAATAGGGGCTGAAAATCATCTTTGCCTGTTGTTGGAGGCAGCATGGCTGTCAGAACTACCAAAAATTTATTTCAGTTAACTGCAGTTAACTTCCATTTTCTTAGCAAGCTGGCAGCACAGTGTAGCTGGGGAGAGAAAAGAGCAGCAGGCTGCACAAAGATCACGGATGCCAGCCACAGCCCCTGAGGGCGTAATCCTTCTTCAGCAATTGATCATCAGCACTCTGCCTGGTTGAGGCCAGGATGACCAGGAGGGAGTGTAGCTGGGGAGAGAAAAGAGCAGCAGGCTGCACAAAGATCACGGATGCCAGCCACAGCCCCTGAGGGCGTAATCCTTCTTCAGCAATTGATCATCAGCACTCTGCCTGGTTGAGGCCAGGATGAGGCCACCAGGAGGGGAGAGACGGAAGCATCACAGGGATTTCAGGGCCACAGCTTTCCTCTCTCCGAGTGCCAGTAGTGACAGGATGAGAGAGAACATTACAACTCTTTCTCATAACTGTGTGTGAAAGACAGAATATTAATATTGGAAATACATTTGTTTGCCTGAAGAAGACAGGTAATTCAGATGAGGCAGCGCTGCAGCAGCAAACAAGCTATACCAAGTTAAGTTGGTAGCTTTTTCTCCATGGAAGTGTGACTCTCTCCGAGTGCCAGTAGTGACAGGATGAGAGAGAACATTACAACTCTTTCTCATAACTGTGTGTGAAAGACAGAATATTAATATTGGAAATACATTTGTTTGCCTGAAGAAGACAGGTAATTCAGATGAGGCAGCGCTGCAGCAGCAAACAAGCTATACCAAGTTAAGTTGGTAGCTTTTTCTCCATGGAAGTGTGAAATGTGTTTTTGCCTGAAGAAGACAGGTAATTCAGATGAAGCAGCGCTGCGGCAGCAAACAAGCTATACCAAGTAAAGTTGGTAGCTTTTTCTCCATGGAAGCTTGAAATGTGATTGATTTTTAGTGATCCAATAAAAGTACATTTGGCTATGGATTTAAATTTAACTTGCTCAGTTCCAAGCCTTGTATGGATGTTACAACTGCTATTGCTAGTTCTGCTATCTATCATTCCCTGCAATTCCGTGTTGATTCTTTTCGGCAATAACAACCAACAATACCATTTCCTGCCTTCTCGAAGACTCTAGAAACGGGAACAGGGTTTTGCTTAATTATGTGTTCCTCTTGCTCCCCCAACTAACCTCTAATTTCCTTTTTTAAAGTCGTTTTAAAAATCTCCTTTCTGAAACATCAGGAAAGTGTATTTTGTCTCTTAACTTGAAAGCAAGAGGAGAAATGAGAGGAAGAAGGGATCCCCCAACTAACCTCTAATTTCCTTTTTTTAAAAAAGTCGTTTTTAAAATCTCCTTTCTGAAACATCTGGAAAGTGTATTTTGTCTCTTAACTTGAAAGCAAGAGGAGAAATGAGAGGAAGAAGGGAGAGGGAGGAGGGCAGCAAACACAGGGGTCTTCACATAGTGCCATATTCATCTGAATGGACCCGGATTGTGGATGATACACATATCTTTAAACTCTCATGTAAACATGTCTTGGAACCTTAGTCTGGGTTTGGGTTCCTGGACACATGTTCATACATGTATGTTCAATGACAGAAATATAAAGGATGGTTCCACACTTTATGCAATAATACAGAGACGATGCTGGTGGCATGGTGGACCATTTGCTGGTCTGTGGACTCTTACCAGTACCTAAGCTTCTACCACCTGACACGACACAGGCAGTAGAAATCCTCGTGGCGCAGTGGTTAAACCGCCGTACTACAGCCAAAACTGTGCTCACGACCTGGGGTTCAATCCCAGGTAGCCGGCTCAAGGTTGACTCAGCCTTCTATCCTTCCGAGGTCGGTAAAATGAGTACAGTACCCAGCTTGCTGGGGCGGGGGGCAATGTGTAGCCTGCATAATTAACTCGTAAACCGCCCAGAGAGTGCTTGAAGCGCTATGGGGCGGTATATAAGCAGCACACTTTTTGCTTTTATTGTAAAATGTTTCTGGTATAATCAACTATACATTCCCATGTCAGTCAACATTTTTTTCACTATTTTAACTGGAAACACAATGTATAAAGATAATATAAAGCACATCACTGTCACAAAAAGACAAGTTTCACGTTACATAAAAAAAAACAGAGGGGAAAGGCATGCGTGCTGAATAAAAACATATTCAGGTCAGTCACGTACCAATCTTGACAAATTGCCATTGGCTAATCTTTATAGAACTTACTCTGATAGGAAGTACGGATCCGTTTCGTTAAATCGGGATAAAAGTTAGATAGGCCACGCATGCAAAAGTTGTCTTTGGAACATGCCAGAATATCAGCATCAGCAGCAGGCAGAGGGAAGAGAAAAATATAAAACAGTCCAAAGTGAAAGGAAATGATACCATGACCAGCATCTATTTCAGCACAGATGAAAAGGGGCCTACACCTCTGCAGACCCTCTGGATCAAAAGATGCACAAAATAAATTAATTTAAAAATGAAAAATGTAGGGTAAATGTGAGCAAAAAACAAAATGAGCCTGTCTCCGAAGCATAATTTTGGGAGATTTGCTATTTTAAGCACAATTTTACATTTACATGTTTATATTTAAACATGAAAGATTTTGCCACGTAATCTGATTAAAGCATTTGTAAACCTGTCTCCTAAGGCTACTGAATTTTTCCTGTATTTACATACATACATATGTATGTATTTAGTAAGATGTTTAAACAGTTTTCTTAGGAAAATGAAACCAATGCTCCTGATAACTGGTAATTTTGTTTATGCTTTCTGTTGTGTCAGAAGAAAATTATGTTTTTAATTCATAATTTTTCGATTTGATTTTTAAAAATAAAGAAGAAAAGGAAATTTTCCAGAATCCTTGTTTCAGAGCAGTTGATCTAGTCTGCAATACACTTTGATCAAGGCACCTGTCTTTTGTGCTACATTTATAACTTTGGGCCACAGGTAACAAGGCCATGACTGGATTTTCATTTGTTTTATGAACAGTAATAGATGTAGGATTTATGTTAAAGCTCTGAATATGGTAGTGTTCATGGATATGTATCCCATTTATTTTCCTAACAGACATAAATTCCTAAAGCTGCTAGTTTTCACAAGAAGCAGCAGATATAATCACATCCCAGCAGATTTTTTTTCCCATGGCTGCATTAAAATCTCTGAACGTTACACTTAAAAAATGGTGTTACTAATTACTTCCCAGAAGCCATTTTGATGTTATTATCATTGCTTGACTGTACAAGAAATGTCTTGCTCTTGAGCTATTAATGTGTTGCTTTGTCAGAAAAATACAGAGAAAATACTCTTTGGTTTTATTATTATATTTTTATAAATAATTCCATGTTGCTATATGAGAACTGGGAACTAGAAGGAACCAAAGAATATTTCCCTTGCCACTTAGGAAAACTTTGGTCAAAATGCCTTGAAACAGTACTTAAAAGTAACTCTTGAAAGCAACTAGGTGTTATTCAGATACTTAATGAATGTAGGTATTATGTGTTATACTCCAAAGTAAATTTGTAACTGCTAGTTACATTTCTTATTACCCCCCAGAGGTAACTTGTTACAGACAATTGTATTATTTGTAACTAGTTACTTCCGACCTCTGAGCTGAAGGCAGATTCAGATAAGCAATTTCTCTACAGGGGGAATCCTGTTCCCCTAACAGGCCAGAGTTACAACTCAATTGCCCAGAGTCCAGAGGTAGGAGAGATGATGACTTTTGTCCAGTGACTGTGATAAAGGAAAGCTGGTGGAGTGGCAACCCTTGGGAGGCACAGTCCCAATCACCGTTGGGTTATGATAAGTCAGAATGCCATGGATCATCCTTCCCTGAAGGAGAAGGATGAAGCTTTGGTTACATCAGCAAGAACGGCTATGGTCTCAGACATGGGATGAAGGAGGTGACAAGGGGGTTCCCAATTATGTTTCTCTAAGCAATGGTAAATAGGAATCTTTGAGTAATACAGTGGTACCTAGCTTAACGATTACCCCGCTCCACAACGAATCTGCTTAACGATTAAGTTTTTGCGATCGCTGAGAAGGATGAAGCTTTGGTTACATCAGCAAGAACGGCTATGGTCTCAGACATGGGATGAAGGAGGTGACAAGGGGGTTCCCAATTATGTTTCTCTAAGCAATGGTAAATAGGAATCTTTGAGTAATACAGTGGTACCTAGCTTAACGATTACCCCGCTCCACGACGAATCTGCTTAACGATTAAGTTTTTGCGATTGCTTGTTTAGATAGGAAAAAACCATTTTACGATGGTCAGTTCCCTGCTTCGGAAACCGATTTTTCGCTTTACGACTATCAAAACAGCTGATTGTTGTGCTTTCAAAATGGCCCCCTGCTGTGTTTCCTTGCTTTACAGGCACTAGAAAATGGCCGCCCTATGGAGGATCTTCACTGAAAGATGATGTATTTCGCCCATTAGAACGCATTAACTGGGTTTTAATGCATTCTAATGGGCTTTTTACTTTCATTTTATGACGATTTTATTCTACGGTGATTTTGCTGGAACGGATTATCGTCGTTAAGCGAGGCACCACTGTACATGCCTGCAAAGCCATACTGGGAACTGAGCAATCTGGGTAAGCAAATGCAGGACAGAGATTGATAACAAGCTGAAGGCAAAAGAAGTCTTGCTTCCAGGTGGGCTTGTGCATTCCCCCCTCATGTAGAACCGATGGCTTGAACTTTATCAGATAAGAGTAGCCCTAGTTATTGCTGCATTCTGCCCAGAACCAATATTAGGGAAGACAGGAGCAATGCTGAAGATGGGGTAGGGCAATTAATATAAACAACGGCACCAGGGAGTGTTGACAAGTCCAGCCCCAAGGTCAACTGCAGGCACTGGTACTCAAGCATGGGTATACTCCCAACACTGGAATGGACAGCACAGCGATCTGCTGCATTCATATGGTGCATCCTTCCTCTTCCAGCCTTTGTTTGCCTTGGCTTTAGAGTTAGCATGTGGCCACAAGGTTGGCTTCATCCCTTTCAGGCTCCCTTCAAGCTCAGGTGTTAAAGAGTCTGAGGTTAAGGAGGTTCTGACTTGTGGGTGATTACTCAGGGCCAGGGCAGAAGCAAGTGGGAACGCCAGTATCTGGGAGCTGGTCATGCTGCATGCAGGAAAGAGAGTGCAGCACTCTCAGGTGCTCCTTCCAGGAGTTTCTAGAAGTGCTGGCTGAGAGTGTCTCATTTCGCACTCTTGCGGGAAGGACAAAGCAATGAAGCAATCTCAGCCAGCATTTCCAAGACCTCCTACTGAATGAGGACAAGATAGGAAATTCCAAATACTGTACTATATCACATCAATGGACAGCAACAGTGGGGATTTCCTTTCCCAACCAGTAGGGGATAGAGATTTGGAAGTGGGACAGGGAAACCCAGATTGTTGGTGGCTCCGATGGGGCCCCTGGTAGACCCAGACTGAGCCCAAAAACAGAGGTTCCCCTCCTGTGGCTTAGCTTTAAATTGCTCGAATGAGGCTTTGTGCAAATGCACAGCTCAAATGACTAATACACATAAACCTAGAAGGTGGACTAAAGGCCTGGTTATTTTTCATATGAAACGTGTGAACTGGGAAATAAAATAAAAAATTCAAGCCAGAATCCTGTAGAACACTCGTGACATCTAACTCCAATTGTACAAGGAGGAATTGGACACTTCCCTGGGCCCTGGGAGTGCAGTCCTCACTATTAATCATTGTGATAATTATGCATCACCTCCAGGGTCAGAGGCAACACACCTCTGGACACTAGTTGCTGTGGGATGCAAGGCAGGAGGTGCCACTGTCCTCGTGTTCTTCTTGAAGAGAAGGGAAGACAATACTCAGCTAACAATAGGTGGGTATTTGGTCTCATGTAGCATAGCTTTTCTTGGCTCAAAAATATTATTTCATATATTGACGAAGCATGCTTTTAAGCTCACAGAAAACCAAACTGTTCATTCTTTTTTTTTTTTGCCACTACAAAAGTGTCAGTCGCTGATAGTAAGTCGTCAGTCAGATGTCTCGTATATAGCTGTGAACTTTCTCTTTGCTCTCATAATGACATGCATCCAACATCCAACCTTGTACCAAAGCCGCAAGCAATAAGAGGAAGGCTGTCAACGTTCATCCCTGCTCTCCATTGATCTCCTACCTGCAGCAAACTGTTTGCTTCTGCGAGGAGAGCGAGGCTGCCGTTGATATAAGTCACTTGATCCGTAAAGTTCAAAGCTTCCCATGCTCAGCAGGGTAGTCTTCTGTATAAAATCCACAACAGCCAAACCATTGCAGTTTCCAAATGCAACTCTGGAAAAGGACATAAGTCTCAAGGGACATTGTACTTTAGTACTTTGGTATTATTTCAAAGAACAAAAATGTGGCCCATGTTGGGACCTCAGTGCTCACTCCTGCCCTATAACTCTTTTTCATATACAGTATTTCAACATATCTTCGTGTCATTTATAATGTGTCTTGTGCTTCTTACCCTATGTCTCCCTACTTCATTCATTTCACAGGTTACTATATCTGTCATCTGTCCACTTGGTATGTCTTTGACAAGGTCATTCATTTCACAGGTTACTATATCTGTCCACTTGGTATGTCTTTGACAAGCATGGACACTCTTATGCATGCCAGGCCACTCACAAGCACAACAGGACAAACTCACCCATATATTCTTGTTGAATCTGAACATATGCCAACTGATCTTTTGGTACTTGTATACAAATACAGACAGTGCAAACCAGCACATTTTTGTCGTGTATGCCTATCACACAACATGGGAGAATGTCACAGCTGTATTTCAGTTTGATAGGGCTTCCCTTCTTTACCCTGAGCTTTAGAGAGGTAGCATGGAGCACAAGAAGCTAGTTGGGATACATGGTATCTAAGCAAGGGTTCAAGAGTCGTAGCACATCAAGGGTTCTAGAGTTATAGTACACATTCCCAAAACGTCTTAGTAGGGCCAGATCAAAGAGATACTTGTTCCCGCATTATATGTTATGTTAAAGAGCTACCTTTGCTGAATATTTTTTTCTACAGCAGTCAGGATCGCATAGGAGGCTCAAAAGACCTCGGCTGGCCACAAATTAAGGCTAATGTTGTTTGTGCAGTTGCACCACTATTAAGATGATAGCTGAATCTCAACTGTAAAGCAAATGAACAAAGGACTGCCCAATTTGTATCAGAGGGAGCAAGGAATGTGAGCTGAAGAAGGTGATACATAAAACTGACTGGGCTGAATATAGTTAGCTGTACATTGTGGAAACTGACAACTTCTCCTGACAAGATGTAAGGAGCGGAACAGACTATAGTAGATACTCAGATGTGGTTCAAGGCCAAGGTCATTTCACATGAGCAATAAATACACTCTCAAGGGCCGCTCTTGTAAACAAGCACTGTTTAATGAAATCTAAAAGGACAGATGCTCTGTATTTATTTATTTAATTTAATTTAATTTATTTATTTGTTTGTTTGTTTGTTTGTTTGATTGATTTTTACCCCGCCCCTCTAGACAATGTCTACTCGGGGCGGCTCTGTATTAAATTGGGTGCCTTATCTGTAAATCTCATGATTCAACTCATCTTTTTAACTAAAGATGGAATATAATGCTAAAACATTTCATGCTTGGTTTTGGTTTTTTTTAAATCTTTTTGATCTTTAGACACATGATTATTGGATGATGGTTTTGTTATGGTCCAGAAAATTGGAAAAACATGCATTGAATGAACTTATTTAATATTGTCCTTTTAGCCCTTGTTATATGGCTTGTGAAAACAACACAATTTATTAAAAGATGTTGCCATCTCAGATGTTCACACCCAGTGACATGTGGGCAGGAACAGGGCTTGAAGTGCAGCCAAAGTACCCTTCTGAACACCCACTACACTTCCATAAGAATCACATATGAAGGGGGCTAGAATGTGGCTTACATGTGGCTCCTTTTTTGTGATAAGAGTAACATGTAGCTAAGCTATCAGAATCAACAGTACAATCAATTAATACTTTATAAATATACTCATTTCATATCTATTCTGAGATTTCTGAAGTTGCACTCCCCACCCCTTATTTTCACCCACAGAAATATCATGTTCCTTGGTTCCTTTATCATCTTTTTCCCAGAGACCACTATCATGACCCTGCTGCATTCCTTGGTTCCTTTATCATCTTTTTCCCAACGACCACTACCATTGAGGGCCAAGGCAGCAGCATGACCCCGCTGCGCCTTTACACATACAGACATAAATGAGTTTGCTACTTATAGGATGTGACCTGTGACTTGTAATCCTGGAATCATATATACAGAATATCACAGAAGTGAGTAAACTCCCTCACATTTCATAAATATTTTAGTACTGTATATCTTTTCATGTGACAACACTGAAGAAATGACACTTGGCTACAATGTAAAGCAGTGAGTATACAGTTTGTATAACAGTGTAAACGTGGCGAGACCTGTTCTGAGAGGAACCTGTCCTGTTAAACCGCTGTATGGCCTATGTCACAGTACATGTTGGCATTCATGGTTCCCTCAATGAACTGTAGCTCCCCAGTGCCGGCAGCACTCATGCAGCCCCAGACCATGACACTCCCACCACCATGCTTGACTGTAGGCACGACACACTTGTCTTTGTGCTTCTCACCTGGTTGCCGCCACACACACTTGACACCATCTGAACCAAATAAGTTTATCTTGGTCTCATCGGACCACAGGACGTGGTTCCAGAAATCCATGTCCTTAGTCTGCTTGTCTGCAGCAAACTGTATGCAGGCTTTCTTGTGCATCATCTTTAGAAGAGGCTTCCTTCTGGGACAACAGCCCTGGTGTGTGCGGCGTATGGTCTGAGCACTGACAGGCTTACCCCCCACCCCTTCAACCTCTGCAGCAATGCTGGCAGCACTCATACGTCTGTTTCCCAAAGGCATTCTCTGGATATAACACTGAGCACAGGCACTCAACTTCTTTCTGGATATAACGCTGAGCACGGGCACTCAACCATAGGTCTTGGCCACCATGCTGCAGCTCAGTTTCAGGGTTTTGGCAATCTTCTTATAGTCTAGGCCATCTTTATGAAGAGCAACAATTCATTTTTTTCAGATCCTCAGATAGTTCATTACTATGAGGTGCCATCTGGAACTCCCAGTGATCAGTCTGAGAGAGTGAGAGCTATATCACCTGCTCCCCCTTCACACCTGAGACCTGTGACACTAATGGGTCTCATGACACCAGGGAGGAAAAACAGCTACTTGGGCCAATTTGGACATTGTCACTTAGGGGTGTACTCACTTTTGTTGCCAGTGGTTTACACACTAATGACTGTCTGTTGCGTTGAGGGGACAGCACATTTACACTGTTATACAAGCTGTATACTAACTGCTTTACATTGTAGCCAAGTGTCATTTCTTCAGTGTTGTCACATGAAAAGATATACTAAAATATTTATGAAATGTGAGGGGGTGTACTCACTTCTGTGATATTAGCATCCTTTGACATTAATTTGGTTTTTGTTTACCTGTAACATGTTCTGTGGCTGACAGTGGAACGACAATTGGCCACAAACAATATTGACTGACTAAATACATTTATAGTCTTTTAAAAAATTATTACAGGCTGCTATAACTAAGGATGAGGCGGGATAAGAATCCATAAGGTTTCATCCTGCCAGATTTTCACATTACTATTTAAACCAGTATCTCTGGGAACAATGACACAAATGGAATCTCTTTCAGCAAAATGCAACCTCTATAGGGTTAACTTACAGTCCATATGCTGAGTTTGCTGCTAGGCTGGTTATTTGCTGAGGAGGCTCACCATCTGCCCACACCAACTGAATAACAAGCTGTGCTTGGTAACCAGGAGGCATCCTTACAGCACGAGTCTTAACGCTAGAATAAAAAGAGAAAAGGCATCAGAACAATCAGGATTCACAGTTATAAATGACTTAATGGATGAGAAAACCACTTGGAGACTTCAGCTAGATGTTACATAAGAAATGCAGGTTATATAACCTTTCCAAGAAGTTAAACCCCTGGTGGTAACCAGGAGAAGATAAATGGGGCGAATTAAGGTCCTCTCCCCTCTACTGATCCTCTGCTCCCTATCTTTCCCAGAAACAGCTTTTCCCATTTAAATAAGGCCATCGGTAGAACAAAACAAGTCCTTTATGTCATGTCTGATTTGACAGTCAAAGCAAGGCCTAAAAGCAAAACAGAGACATTAAAATACCCCCCTCTCTCTCACATACACATAACTGTTCTCCCTCCAAACATCTCTGAGGTATCCCTACAGATACCAGAGGCAGTAGAAAATTTGCTCCAAATGCATGACAGAAAAACTCTTAAACAATCCTGAATTTGAACTGAGAAAAATTAAATTACTAGCAAGTATGCATGATCCACTTAAGAATATTCTATGGTTATTAGATATTCTGAACTTATGTAAGCGTGTAAGGGTTTTTAAAGTCACTTTATCATCAACATGCACGGCGAAACATACTGATCAGAACTGTATTGGGGTTCATGTAACATCTGCCTAACTTCCCATGGTTAATAGTATAACTTAATAATTAATTGTCATTATTTATTTATTTATTTATTTATTTATTCTGCCTTTCCTCTTAAGAAGGACCCAAGGTAGCTTACATAACTAAATTATTAAAAGGCAATTTTAAAAGCTAAAAACAGTAAGTATACAGATACTAAAAAAGGATTAAACAGATACCACCACTAAAAGACAGTAAACAAAAACAACATCAAAAATGCACACAAAGCACTACCATCAATCTAAAACCTCATTTAGGTAACCAGTCATTAAGGGAAAGCTTGCCGCTTGCAGAAGGACAGCAATGATGGGGCCAGCTTATCCTACTGTGGGAGGGAGTTCCAAAGTCTGGGAGCAGCCACAGAGAAGGCCAAACACTTGTGAGGGTGGTGGAAGCAAAAGAAGGGCCTCTCCTGATGATCTTAACAATTGGGCGGACTTGCAAAGGAAGGCACGGTCTTTGAGATAGCTTGGACCCAAGCCATTCACGGCTTCATAGGTTAAAACCAGCACTTTGAATTGTGCCAGGAAACAGATCAGCAGCCAGTGGCTGATGTGACAGGGGGATTATGTGATCCCTGTGACCAGCCCCAGTCACCACATTTTGGACCTGCTGAAGTTTCCAGACACTTTCCAGCGGCCGCCCCACAGTGAACACGTTACAGTAATCCAGCTGGGATGTAACTAAGGCATGTGTCACCATAGCCAGACAGACCACTCCACAAACAGGTGCAGCTTGTTGCACTAGTTTTAATTATGAAAAGGCACATCTGGCCAGTGCTGAAACCTAAGAATCCAGGCTCAGAGATTAATCCAAGAGCACCCCCGAACTGCACACATGTGTTTTTAGAGGGAGTGTAACCCCATCCAGCATAGGCTGCATCTGCCTTTCAACTGACAAGCAGCACCTCTGTCTTGTCTGGATTAAGTTTCAGTTTATTCAGCATCATCCAGTCCATTAATGACACCTGACACTGGTGTAGAACTGAAACAGCTTCCTTGGACTTAGGTGACATGGAGAGATAGAGTTGAGTGTCATCCACATACTGCTGACATCGAACCCCAAAACTCTGGAAACCTTTCCCAGTGGTTTCATGTAGGCTTTAATTAACACACGAGATCAAAGAGAGTCCTGAGGGACCCTGTATGCCAGTGGCCAGGGTGTCAAAAAGGATTTTCCCCAGCACCACTTTCTGAGTTTTCTACGAAGGACCAGACCCCTTGTAAAACAGTGTTTCCAAGTGCTGTTCCAGAGAGATGGGGCAGAAAGATACTACAATTGTTGGTATTAACTGCTGTGAGGTCCAGCAGAACCAACAGGGACCTACTCCCCCGTCCAGTTCCTGGTGTAGGTCATCCACCAAGGTGGCCAAAGCAGTCTCCATCCTGTAACCAGGCCTGAAACCAGATTGAAATGGATCTAGGTAACCGATATCATCCAAGAACCCATGAAGCTGAGAAGCGTCCAAGAATGGAACTTTAGAAACTGGTTGGCAATTTCATTAATGTGTTTAAAATAAATATTTAACAAAATTTATTGGAGCGTTTTCCTTCAGACCCATCAATGTGCATGGTGACTGACAGCAAAAGAAGACAGGTCTCCTCCTGCCTTGAGACTATCTAACCTTATTATAAGCTTCAGTTCCTGAAAAGACAAGAGAACAATCTTTTATTTAACATCCAAAAAACCAAGGAATTCATAGTGGACTATAGGAAAAAAAGAGCAGACATTCAGCCACTGTATATAGATGGAGTTTGTGTGGAACAGGTGGTTGAATGTAAGTTTCTTGGGACTATCATAACAAATGACCTGACTTGGAGTGCAAACACCGCTGCGTTAATCAGGAAGGCACAACAACGGTTGTATTTTCTAAGGATTCTTAGAAAGCAACAATTGACTGAGAGTTTGTTAATCACCTTCTATCGGAGTTCGATTGAGAGCATATTATCCTACTGTCTCTGTGTATGGTTCACGAGCTGCACAGTGGCAGAGAAAAAGGCAATTCAAAGGGTGATTAAGACGGCCCAAAACATCATTGGCTGTTCACTCCCCTCTTTGGAAGAATTGTATAAGAACAGATGTAAGAGGAAGATATCTAACATACTGAAAGACTCCTCTCATCCGGGACATCAGCTCTTTAAATTATTACCATCAGGAAGGAGATTCAGGGTATTGAAAGCAAGGACAAGCAGATTCAAGAACAGTTTTTACCCAAGTGCAGTATTGAGTTTAAATGCGGGGCCATAGGCTTTTGGTGGAATTTTAATTGCTGAGAGAAAACGGGGTATCTATATTTGGATGGTGAAAGTTGTGTATATTTTAACTTTTTTTTTGTAGTGTTGTCCAGTTTTACCTTGGGGAAGAGCACCTCATTTCGTTGCACCCACTTGTGAGTGCAATGACAAATAAATTTCTTATGTCTTATGTCTTATGTCTTATGTCTTAAAAGAAATATTTAACAAAATTTATTGGAGTATTTTCCTACAGAGCCATCAATGTGCACGGTGACTGACAGCAAAAGAAGACAGGTCTCCTCCTGCCTTGAGACTATCTAACCTTATTATAAGCTTCAGTTCCTGAAAAGACAAGAGAGGGCAGGGAGAATAAAATAAAATAAGAACAAAATCAGTCTACAATTCCTTACCTGAGAAACGGGATACTGTCCTTCACTGTTCCTTCAGATGCCACGGTGTTTGTACTGCCTGAGAGATCTTTTAAAGATGAAAGGTGTGAGGAGGCATTTGGAAATGGAGGAATCATATCTGCCTCGGGACTAATGGTGTCGTCTATCTCACTCTGAAGTTGCACCTCTAAAGACTTGAAGGAAATTAAAACCAAAGTTATTTTATGAAATCAAAATAGTAGCTAAATTAATAGCACTAAATTTTGTTGGCTTTCCGATATCACAGACCACATGGCCACAGCTGTAGTCTGGGGTCTGAAGAAATAAGCAGGGAAAGGTCCTACACTCTCTTGGCTCCTGCACATTTGCATTGTAATGTGGGGGGTAAAATGGTACCTATGGACAAACAATACTGCTATTTAATCTCATGGGAGAAAGCAGTGTTCTGGCTGGTGTGCTAAGCTATAGCTTTCAGGTAAGCTCAAGTGTTTCTGGAAAACTTATTCAATAGTTTAGAACATAATTCCCTAGAAATGACTGATGTAGTGATTAGAAAACTAACTGAAAAAACAGGAACCATAGTTCTTGAGTATGTAATCAGAGAGAAGGAACAGGTCCTACTGAAAATCTTGCCTGGTTAGAAAAGTTTCCAAAAGGAACGCTGGGAATGTCTAGAACCTGTGTGTGAAAGACCAGATGTTCCTGCACAGAAATACAGGAGGATGAGCTTGGTTGTCCCAGGTTAATATAACCTGGGCAAAAATCAAAAGCAACGTGGTAGCTGAAGTCTACAACCAACCACACAGATGAAACTTTTGAAAAACAAACTGCGAAATTTTCAGAGACACGATGCAGTTGTAATGGGAGATTTCAACTTTCCTGATATCTGTTGGGAGGCAAATTCTGCCAAGTTACAGCCCTTCCAATAAATTTCTGGCTTCTGTGGCTGATAATTTTCCCCTACAAAAAGTGGAAAAGGAAAGTACAGTACAGGAGTAACATTCCTTGACTTGATTCTAACCAATAGAGTATTCTTCGGGAGCAGATGGTGTTTTCCATTTTCTTCTTGGTGGAAGAAATGGCAATAAGGGAAACTCTGGGGGAAAGTGATCATCTTCTACTTGGGTTCTTTATTTCAGAGGAAACAAAAGCAAAATATAGCTATATGTGTACACTGGATTTTGGAAAAGCCCATTTTAATAAACTCAGGATAACGATAAGTCCCCATGGCAGGAGATTCAAATAAGACAAAGAAGTCCAAGGTGGGTGCGACTTTCTTAAAAAAGAAATGGTAAAGGCACAACTACAAACAATTCCAACAAGAAAAGAGGTGGAAGATATTTTAAGAAGACCAATTGGGATTCACAAAAAGTTCTGAGAGGATCTGGGAAAAAAAAGACACACAAAAAGTTGGCAGGAAGGCCAGGCAAACGAAACGAGTGGCAAAGAATTGCAGGGATGCCGTTAGGAAGGCAAAAGCTGAAAATGAACTGAGGTTTGCAAGAAAAGCAAACCAATTTTATGTGCATAGCAAAAAGTCAAAGGAAAGAAACAGTATCTCAACTACTCAAAGGGGTTGGAAAAATGATAACAGACTACAAAGAATAGGCAGAGGTGCTCAGCTCCTAATTTAGCTGAGTCTTTCCCAAAAGATAGCCTATGACCCTCCAGGCATATGTGAAGTACAAGTGCAGGGGACAGTATTGCACTTGAGATGGATAAAAAAAATAGTCAAGGAACACCTTAAAACTTTGAATGAGTTCAAATCTCTAGAGCTGGATGAACTGCATCCAAGAGTATTGAAGAAACAGGCTGAAGAACTTTCAGAACCGCTGTTTGCTATTTTCTTGAAATCACCAAGGATGGGTAAAGTACCAGATGATGGGAGAAGGGCTAGCATTGTCCCTGTTTTCAAAAACAGCAAAAAGGAGGAACTGGGGAACTAAGACCAGTTAGACTGGCATCAATTCCAGGAAAAATTCTGGAAAAGTTTATAAAGCATCCAGTCTGCAAGCACCTTGAAAACAATGCAGTAATAACAAGAAGCCAATGTGGATTTATCAAAAACAAATCCTGCCATACTAATCTTATCTAATTTTTAAATCATGTAACCTTTCTGATAGATGGTGGGAATGCTGTAGATATAACATATCTTGACTTTAGCAAAGCTTTTGAAAAAGTGCCTCATGATATTCTGATTAGCAAGTTAATTAGGTGTGGGCTGGATAGAATAACTGCCAGGTGGATAAACAGTTGGTTACATAATCATACTCAAAGAGAGATAATTGATGGCTCCTTCTCAAAGTGAGAGAAGGTAACAAATGGGGCACCACAAGGCTCATTCCTGGTCCCAGTGCTCTTCAACATTTTTATTAAGGATTTGGAAAAGAAGGTGTAGGGAATGCTTATCAAATACTGTATAAGAAAGTGTAAGGAATGCTTATCAAATATGTGGATGACACAAAATTTGCTGGAAAAGCTCACATTCTAGAAGACAGAAACAAAGATTTTGATAGGCTTGAGCAATAGGCTGAAAACAGAAAGAAATTTAACAGAGATAAGTACAAAGTTCTATAACTAGGGGGAAACCAAATGCCTAGTTACAAGATGGGGAATATTCAGCTCAGTTATACTACATGTCAGAAGGATCACAAGCTGAATATGAGCC